TCGTTCCTGATCACTCGTCGAGAGACTATCTATTTCGTACATCAATCAGCAAAGGAGTACCTACAGACTCATGCCTCCACTAAAATCATGCCGTCTGGAATCTCTGATGTTCACTATAGCGTTTCGTTACGGTCACTTACGACTTTGATGCGGACGCTGAGACGGGACATCTATGCTCAATCTCGACCCGGATTGGCCATCAATCAGATGGAACAGCCTGACCCAGATCCTCTGAAGGCTGTCCGATACTCTTGCGTGTACTGGGCCCACCATCTCCATGAAGCCTACACAAAGAACCTACAAAAATGCCGGGATTTCCTCAGTCGAGGCGATAATATTGTTTACCAATTTCTTAAAAAGCTCTTTCTCTATTGGCTTGAATCTCTGAGTCTATTGAGGCGGATGCGAGCAGGCATAATTGCCGTAGAGAAGCTCGAAGCAGTACTTGAGGTAAGTTGTCATCAACTTAACACGATATTTGTTCACAGCAGTCAGCACAGCATACTTGAACATACTTGAATCATTAACTAATCGTTCTAGGACCTGGGTGCCAACCCTAATTTTCTGACGCTTGTCCAAGATGCTCGAAGGTTTGTTCTATACAACCAGGTGCTGATTGAGAATGCGCCGCTTCAAACATATGCCTCAGCTCTCGTCTTCATACCTGCGAAGAGTGTCATCAAGGAGTCATTTCGAATGGAAGAGCCAAAATGGATGAAAACATACCCCATAATGGAAGATAGCTGGAGTGCGTGTCTCCAGACACTCGAAGCCCACAATGATACAATCAGATCGGTGGTTTTCTCCCACGACCATAAACATCTTGCATCAGCCTCAAGCGATTATTCCATTAAAATCTGGGATGCGGTATCCGGGAAATGGGAGAAAACCCTCAAAGGCCATAGTAACTGTGTTACCTCCTTAGTTTTCTCACACGACAATAACCTGCTAGTTTCCGCTTCAAACGACAAAACCATTCGGTTCTGGGGAGCCCATTCGGGAAAGTGCCTGCAGACCCTCAGGGGCCACGAGAATCACGTCAGATCGGTTGTTCTCTCTTATGACAAGGAGTTTCTTATTTCCGCCTCGTGCGACCGCACTATCAAGATTTGGAATATTACCTTGGGCGAGTGTGTTCGAACTCTTAAAGGCCACCTTGATTGGGTTAACGCTCTAGCGCTCTCGCACAAAAGTGGCCTACGTCACCTTGCATCAGCCTCAAGTGATCGAACTATCAGAATATGGGATGTCGATGATGGTAGATGCATTACAATACTCAAGGGCCATAGCGACTGGGTTAATTCAATATCCTTCAAACAAAACAGCGTATATCTTGCTTCGGGATCAAGTGATAAAACTGTGAGAATTTGGGATGTTGCTACATCCTCCTGTGTGAAAGTACTCCAAGGCCATACCAACTGGATCAATTCCGTAGCATTCTCTCACAATGGCAAGTACCTCGCATCAGCGTCCAACGATGCATCCATTAAGATCTGGGACAGTGATGGCAAATGTGAACAGACACTTCGGAGTCATAGCTGGACAGTGACCGCTCTAGCATTTTCCCCGGACGACCAGCGCCTGATATCTGGCTCCTCGGACCGTACGATCAAGGTCTGGGATATGAGTATTATTGGCAAAAATATGCGAGTTATCAGTGCTCATGATAAATGGGTTGATTCGTTAACATTCTCCCGTGATGGCAAATACATAGCATCGATATCAGACGACTGGACGCTCATGATCTGGAGCGCAACCACGGGTGAGTATATGCATACACTCGGAAGCCACAAGGATATGCTCAATGGGCTATGTTTTTCAAGTGATACTCACTTAGCCTCTGCTTCAAGCGACCAAACCGCCAGGATATGGGACATCATTACAGGCGAATGCAAGGAAACCCTAGAAGGCCACGAGGACTGTGTCAATTCTGTCGATTTCTCGCCTGATGGCAGTCTACTTGTATCCTCTTCGGGCGACCATACTGTTAGGGTCTGGGAGGTTGACACTGGCATGTGCATACAGTTATTCGAAGGCCACACTGATTCAGTGGGAACAGCCGTGTTTTCAACAGATGGCCGGTACATCGCTTCCTCATCACGCGACAAATCTGTCAGAATTTGGAGCACTGCAGAAGTAGAATGCATATGGGTATTGAATGGCCACGATGGTTGGGTTAATTCAGCAGTCTTTTCGGACGACAGCCAGTTCGTTGCATCAACGTCAACAGATAAGACAGTCAGAATCTGGCATGTCCGTACGGGTGTCTGCGCCCGCGTTCTCCATGGTCATAAGGACTCGGTCAATGCCGTCGCCTTTTCACATAGCGGCAAGCTCCTCGCTTCGACATCAGCTGATGAGACTCTGAGGATCTGGGAGACCAGCACAGGCAAGTGCATCGCTGGTATCAATGCAAGAATTCTTCTTCATACTGTGTCCTTCGACCCGACAGATTCTTATCTACTTACTAAAATCGGGCGAGTCGCACTCGGTTCATTATTACAGCCCAAAACCGGACAGACAATCTGGTATGGCTACGGTATGAGCCCTGACTTGACTTGGATAACTTGCCACGGTCAAAATCTGATGCGTGTGCCCTCTGAACACAATCTACTTTGCAGTGCTGTATTCGAATCGACAGTTGCCATTGGCACTGAGGCTGGAAAGGTGTTTGTGCTAGAATTCAAACCAGATATGATATTCCCGTCTCCGCGGGTGGAAGAAAACTGGATGATAGACGAGCCAATGGCGGAGGGTTGGCAAGCGCCGCCTATCATCCCGTTCCATGAGCTTAGCGCTTCCGCGCAAGCGACAAGCGCCCCGCCCACGCAGGACGGTGATATCTCTTCGGAACAGGAGGCTGCTGGGTCACCCATGCAGAATTACGACGTCACAATGAGGAGGGAATCAGATTCAGACGGTCGAACACCTCTACATCTTGCTGTTTTGAGCAATAATGAGCAGCTCGTGCTACAGCTTTTGAGAGACAAAGAAGTAGACCAAAACGCAAAAGACAAGCATTCACGGACTGCTCTTTTCTATGCGATGCAACAGAGGAAAACAAAAATTGCTCTTGCTCTGGCAGAGAAGTGGAATGTTGCAACCCGAGTGGTCATAAGTCATTTAAATCACCCGGCGCAGGATTACAAAGACAAGTCTCTCTTCAATGCGATTATGAGACAAAACCACGACGAAATAGGATTTTTAATCGAAACTGGTGCAAACACTGAAGCTAGAGGGTACGGTATCTGGCCTGGCTGGAAAGGTACTACACTCCACGAAGCAGCCTGGTTTGGAACCCTGGAGATTCTGCAGCTCATGCTAGACTGTGGAGCAGAAAAATATGCAACAGATATTGGGGGTCGAACTCCTTCACATCACCCAAACTGGTCCCGTACCAAAGAGATATCCAAATTTTTGAGTTGAGTACTCCTTTGAAAACGAGTGATGATCTCATTAACTCATGTCAGCATTGCTATGATCAACATAGCAGTTCTGCAATTTTGATTATCTCAAACTTCGCTTGATTTAAGCGCATACATCTTCACGGGTAGAAGGTTTCTAGGGAATCCGCGCTGAAGTTGTGATTTTACTAATTGTAAGCCGGCTTGCCGGAATATACTTGAGAACTTGCTTTCCTCTCTGGAATTCTCAATCAATAACTAGACCATAATTTCAAACTCTCGTCAAACGGCTACTCACCTTATAACAGTGCTGTCAGTGCTGTTGAATACGTCAACCCCACGGATGCTCAAATTCTCCTTAATAATAAGGAGCCCGGTACCTGCTTTGAGGGCTGTATTACACCTCCTCAAATACCGAACCAACTGCTCATCTGTGAGGTGGCAGAGACACCATTGATTCCAAATCAAATCATACTCGACGTCCTGAGCCGGATCCCATTCTTCTAAGCCGACGTTGAAGATATCCCGGACACCGCTTTTTCCCTGGAGACTTTCGGTAAATTTAACAACTGGCTCGATCACATCAACCTGCTCAGCGAGGTCTAAGAGGACGCCCTGAGTAAATCGCCCGATTCTACAACAGCATCGGACAAAATTGATAGAAATTAGCAACCAGGCTTGCCACGAAAGGGAGTCGAGCATTTCATTATTCATACCCTGCACCTCCTTCCAAGGCATCTATAAGAGTTCGTAAGCCCGGGCCAGTTCCAATCCCCAGCTTAGCGAGAAATTCTCGAGAGCCTTGCAGGTCGACTTCTGACATTCCTGGCTGTGCCTCACCAGTTCCAATCATTTCGTCTTCGTTTCCATCTTTGCCCTCCCAGAACCGTCTACCGTCATCTCTCCTTATCAGGGAGTCCGGTGGTGTATTCTTAGGGAAAGCCATAGTTACAGTTGTAATGGTGGTTCTGTGGGATAAGTTCTATGGAAAACAACACAAGGAGAATCAACTATCATGGCTGGCTGAATCCAAAGGATATTCCTCGAGTATCCAACGGCTAGTTGAAAAGACGCGTGATCGCCATTGACTCCGCGGATATCTGACGAAAAGAACCGGATGAGTAGACAGGCCAAATCGGAAGGTAATACAACCCGGGCAAATGTCCTGTCCTCAGCTCGAGGCTGTGACCGGGCCAGGGTACTTGGGCTTGAAGGTTGGGTTCCTTTGCATGTAGTAGCCTTGACGATTGGCAAAGTTTCAATAATCCCAGTGCATGCACTAAAACATAACCTTCTGTCACACCGTCGAGGAACATTACTTTGACATGTTCCCCCTGGCCTCCCTGCCGTTGACGTGAGCGGACCTATTTCTCCCGCACGAGGAAAGAGAAAACGTTGAGGCGTCCACTACGGCCCCTCCCTCCAAAGCCGTATCATGAACGGCCTATCTGGCCCTGGGCAAGAAATATATATGTCGGGTCCGCTCCCCACCATAACGGCTTCTCAGTGCGTGAGCTGCCATCAATTGAGTCATATCTGGACCTGGATAGTTCACAGCATCAGCCTCTATACCAATTACCATCTACTGTTACAGCCATGCCTACCTGCCCTGACGGTCTACCCCATCACGCTTCAGCTGGCGGAGCCGCTGTTGTGGGTGATGGCAAGTCCATCATCACTTATGAGCGCATGGGATCCAAAATCAGCCATCTTGCACCACACGAAACCTGCCATATCTATATGTCTATCACGAACCCGGATAGCAAGACGGCCAAATTGAAGAGGATCCAAGTTGAATGTGAGGGAGGAAATGGCGGCAAAATCATGGGGACGTGGATTTATTTCGGCCATCACCATGTTCTAGAAGTACACGTCCCAAACGTCGACTCGGACTATGAGATCGTGCCTTCAATAGGCCACCAAATCCCCAACTCACAACCATTCGGCACCAACGTCACGTTCGTGCTTCACTTGCCCAACCACGACTCGTTCATCAAGATAATCTCTGTTGCTCTGGGATTCGGTCACGATCACGAGTCAGACCCTAGTTTGGAAGTCTCCGAAACGAAGGTGTTGATATCCGAGTAGTTCGCCTTATTGGCTGTGACCAATTTCACCCAAGGTTCCAGAAGATCCACGTATCCAGTGCTGGTATCTAGTCATCAGTTTGAAGAATGGTCGACTCTTTCTTCTGCCTATCTATTTTTCCCCCTTCCCGCAGCCAAAACTTTTTTTTGTTTCCCTTTGCACTGCACCCACGCTCACTCATGCGCAAGGCAGTCCCACTTTGCTATAACAGTCATTAATACCCATGTACGAGTGGTTGTCGTGACGTTTTCTAGTCCTGTTTGAGCGGCACAGCCAGTCGCACACAGGTCAGATTTCTCGGTATCTCCCAAAAGCAAAGTTAGCATGCCAGACAAATATATAACCTTTAAGCCTATCAATTGTGGGCGAGAACAGAACAAACTCTATTTTTGTTTCCTCATGTACGGAGTAAGTAGATTAGGTATATTCATGGCCTGCTGATGTATAGTGCCCTGCAAGAATGGAGATTGGGTGGGTAGTTCAAGCTAGCCATAGCCGATATTGATTAATAAACAACAGATAGCTAACTAGAAGAGAGGTCTGGCCCTTGTGTAACTTAAATTCTGGCTGCAGTGTTAGCCCATAAGCGAGGGGCCTTTTGTTTTGACATCATCCATCCCCGGGTCCCATCGTATGAACCATTCCTAGGCGCCAGACTGTAATAACAGCCGTCAGCTGAGGGGTGTCGGTGTGCCACCAGCTGTGAAGAAGATTGGTGAAATAAAACTGGGGGTTGCTATTGTCATCCAGGCATTTGAACACGAACAATTCAACATTTGTAAAGAGAAAATCATACCGGGCGCCGTATCATATCATATACCAGTTAACCTAGCTGAGAGCCTATCAATACTCCCTACGACCTCCCCGCAACGGGGCTGATTGCCGTCGTCGTGCGCCATTTCCAGGATGACTTTATAACCCCCTGGGGTGCGGTTGGGACCAGCGCCCGCTGGCCCTGTCACACCGAGGTACGCAGACCCTGATTTGACGTGGCCGGGGATTTTTGCATTCTCTCTAGTATCAAACGAGACGGATGGTATATTGATCAACTGGTTGGCCAGTCTCAAATGGCCATCGAACCGTAAGGAAGACATATTCAGAGACCTTAACCTTTAAAGGCATCCTTTGCCGTGATGGGACCTGATTGGGAGGTTGGCATAGGTCTTGCAGGCACTGCCTCCCACCGCGCAAATGCACTTGTATAGCTAGTTTTGGCCGTAGAACAAAGATGACCGGGGTTGACATCTGGAGATATCTTGCCTTGGGCCAATGGAAGATATTCATTCCGCAGCCGAATTAGCTGTTCGAAAATGAGCCCCGAAAATCCAGAAAAGGTTGTTAGACTGAAACCAATCCAAACTGCAGTGATTTCGATACCTCCTCTATCACCGTTTGTTTCTCTCCTTCTCCATATAGCAAGCAACGTGCCAAAACAGCAATCTATATTATATAGACCACTTTCCAGTCAAAGCAGCCACGAGCAGCGTCGCAAAATATATTGTTCTGCTTCATACTCTTCCTTGTACTTATCACCGAAAGCAGAGCCATATAGACATTTTGCATGCTTATCTGCTCCATATGCCCACATTGCCCGGATGTACTCCCAATACTCGGGCTTAAAGCCAGCATTTTCCCAGTCAACAACACCTGATAACCTCCCGCAAGTGACAAATAAATTGGTCATATGTATGTCGGAGTGGGTAAAGTAAACTTTATGCTTTTTTTCGTACAAAAAAGAGAGTGGTGGTTTGTCTCTAGCTCCTTTGACATCTTGAAGGAGACGGTCAGTGAAACCAGAGACTGTTTTAAATGGACCCCAGGTCTGATAGAAGAACCTGTGGTCGCTGATTGGGCCCCCTCGTGTATCTGCAATAAGGTACTTTGAGCTATTTGGTATTCGTCGCAACTCGGTAATGAAGTTAGCTAGGTCTTTACCTATCTGTTCTAGTTCTTCCCATGTAATGCGATGGAGTATGCTGCTTAGACTGCGTCCAACAACTTTAGTCATTAAGATAAAACCCGACGTTTTATTGACCATGACTGAGTCGATTAATCGCGGTGTACTAATCGATATATACTGTTCCGCCAATGTCAGAGCTTTGGCTTCATTCTCGGTATTTTCGCGGCCCTTCTTGAGAACAAGGCCTAGTGGAAGAAATTTCACGTGGGAGCCTTTTTGGCTAGGATCCCAATAATCTACCATCTTGTAAATCAATTCATAAAGCCGTATGCGTGCAAAGTTGGGTATAAGGCGTAGGAGGATTTGGAGAAGAAGCCTTCCAACCCAGTTCAGTTCCTTGGGCTCTATGTTGCTAAAATTAGTAAGATCTCGGCTGAATACAAAATATGAGTGCCATACCCGGTTCAACGGGCCAACCTGCTTTTATTTGCTCTTCAATATAAATAGTGTGCAGTGGGTGGCTAACAATTCCATGGGTTTTTAGGAGCAGACGTGCGGGCAATGGATGGCTAATAGGATTTATCGTCGACGGGACCTTGTATAGTTCATTGTTGCGAGGTATTATTTGTGGTACCTCCGACTGAGGGGCGATGGGCTGAAGCCACCACTATAGAGACTTATGTTAGTAAGATGCCGGTATGTAAATTTTTGTTTTTAACATACTCCACCATTCTTGGATTTTGGGGCGTCCGTTGGTAAATATGGAGGCTCCAAGTATGGTGACTTGATGATCTCAAAATATCCATGGCGAAAAGAGTATCGGATCGAGGGCTCCATTAGAATGAGGTTTTTGAGAACATTCTCTCTACCAGGCAACCCTAGTAGATTGAGCATCTGTTCAGTTCCTTCTTTGGTCAGGGAAACCTCGAGAAGCGGACGTAGGTAGCCCTACTAATTATTAACATGTATTCAACCAACGAACAAAATACAAGCGTACCCCTGGCTGTAGATCTTTGTCTTCCAGAATCGATGGAGGAATGATATATATGGGCTGAACGCCTGCGGTACGGCCGGTGATGAAACAGCAACCACCATCACGCTCATAAAGCGCAGCCTCAATCTCTGGGTCCAAATTCATGGGATCCTCTCGGGTCACTATCTCTCACCGGTTAACCATGATCAAATTCAGTTCTAAGATATCTCTCTTACTCTTCTTTGATAGGATCTTTAACTCTTCGTGTATTGAATGAAGAGTCTCCTCTAAAGTACTAGACTGAGCGTTCTGGGCGACCCGATCGCGAACATACTTCGACGCCTCATCGGGAGCTCTTGAAGTGCCCACGAATAAATATAAGGCGCTATTCTCAACCGCAGGGATCTCCGCAGAGTTTATTATAGTGAATACCTTGCTGAAGTCCTCTCCAAAGCGATCATGTCTAGCCAACGCTTCTTCCATGGCCAAAATATGATTCGTGTTCTCCTGAAGCAAGAGTTGAGGTTGACTGTTTTCTGACGCAGCTTCTATCTCGTTAATAGCTAGTTAGTGTTTAGTTATGTCGGGTCTAACCGTAATATTTGAACGATCCACGTGATGCTGGGCCTGGCGGCTGGAACTGTAACATCTTTTATCCGAAACCTTTCAGCCGCCGGGCCCGGCCCGACCCGACCCGCAGGACGAACAGGCAGTGGACCTCACCTGAGCATTGAAGGGGCTTGTCAGCCCGCTCACACACCAGCGCTCACTCACCAATGGAAATTGTTCGTGTCATCGAATTAGCCAGTAGGGATATACGCGCCGAAGCTAGGGGAGGGATATCCAGTTGCATCCACCAAATCCTCCCTGCACTCGGGGCATACTATGTATAGGCTGCATTAGCTGGCAAAACTAATGCTTTGGCGACAAATGCTTGTTGATTAATTGGTAACTAGGGCCCGGCCCACCGAATATATCCATGAGATGTTACGCCGGCCCACATTTCCCTGCATGCCACTCTATAAAGGATTGGGGGCTCATCATAATCAGGAGACGGCGATTGACGGACAGTCGAATACCCCTGTCTCTCCACCAGTTGATTTTAGCCATTTTTTGGTTGCAGATTGAATACAGATGTCACAGGCAAGCTTACATTGAAACACTGTTCGTCACTAAGTCTGTCAGTAGATCAGGTTGCTATACCCTGCGGTTCCAATGGCGATACAGGATGTATGGGTCATATGAAACCTTCTCTTAATCTATGGGGAACCTACTGCTTGCAGGCGCTAATCAAAACACTGGTTGATGCACCCAAACGTAGATCCCGGTCTTCCCAGCCAGTGATTTCCATGCACTCTAGATGACTCGATTGGCTCTCATCGTAGAAAGGCCTGACTTTGTTACGGAAGAAAACTACACGAGATGAGATGCACGTTTTCAAGGTAGAAATGTGATTCTGGTGCAATGGATGATTATGAAGCTATATAAAGCTGAGCAGTCCAAGTTTCCGGCATCATGTCTATATTGTTGGAATCCCATCAAGTCATAAACACAGCCTTCCATTTCCCAGAATCTTGCGCTGGACTATACAGCTGCACCCCTTTTTCATATACTTGATTGAACTCGTATATTTGTGCGATGTCCTCCCGCAATGGTGGTATTCCAAATCCATCAGCAATCACAAACGGAGACCGGACACACAATCCCTCTCTTGAGCTGGAGCCAGGGATGCTCTACATTACCCTATTCCGTATGGAAAAGGACGGAACCTATCACTGGGCCCTAGTCGTTGCAACTACCAATCGGACTGGTATGGTCTACCACAACACTAATGACGGAGATGGCTTCTATCTTAGCCGATTCCTTCATCCGCATTTGTTGAACTCGACAAGATTCTTGACAGCCGTCAAGGTATCAAGACTTACAGACTATGAGCGCAAGTTTCACGAAGAATTCCACACAAGGATTGGCGAGGTTCCAATAGAAGGTCATACGTGCCGCACATGGCTTCTAGAGGCTCTCTTTGAAGTTTCCGACCAGGGACTTATTGATCTCCAACCGAACAAAGCACAGATATCTCAGATCGAGACTGAGGCACTTGACCATGCCATCAGGGCTGCCAGGAGACGGGGGGTGGCCACAGTCGTTACGAGTTTTTGCTTCGAAACTTAGGCAGAAGGATATAAGGTTATAAAATAAGGCCCCTGGCTATAAACCACTTCTGTTGCACCTTTGAGGTCCCCAGCCTTCCTCCTATGTATTTTCTCCTTTTTTAGCTACTGAATTCCAATGATTTGCTAACATTACCATCACCATCTGCCTTATCGTTAAATCTGAGAATTACAATATAGCTTGGACCGCTCTCATTCCTCTGACAAAATATCCAAACCACCCCCCCTCCTGGCTAAAGGGTATATTCTGAGTAGCTGCCCTTCATCCCGAGGAAAATCCTTCCAACCCAGTAACATATTCCTTGAACAGTATACGTGATTACCATTTGCATTTGCCACTTAAACCGGTATGCCCATTCCGGTACGCGGGGTTCTCCCCATATTTGTCGCCATTCCCACCACCAAAAGAACGGAATTGTCGGATGATATATCCAAAAACCGTTAGAATAGAAAATTGCTCTTAGTTGAATAGCAAGCATTAGGTCAAGTATCCATTCGCGGAACGGATGTGAAAATTGGAATAGACCGAGAAGAGATAACAATTGGCGTAGCAAAAACGGCGTTGAGGAGAGAAAAGCCATACGGTCTCGGTCGATAATAGCACTGCAAATATTCCTGTGGAAAGATTTATCCCCCTTTAGGCTAACGATAAGGTCCTCTTGATTGTAATGAGAATTACGGAACCAAGTAGAAGAAGCACCAGGACCAAACGATATACTTTCCCCGCTCCGAAGGTCCCCTCCTCTAGAAGAAAGAAGATCATCAGGATAGTAGACTTTAATGACGGCAACACCAGCTAAGCACGTAATCTCGTCGCAGATGGAGGAATGTGGGTTAAGCCAATGTTTCCAGTACTCCCAGCTGCTCTTTTTAGGGATCGTGATGCGAATTGGTCACCATCTCCAGAAAAATCGAAGATAGCAGCCACCTGTCCTTGTTGATCTGGAAGAGTGAAGGAGGTTATCGAAGCCGTGTTGGACCGTTTCATTATAAAGTTATGCGACGGGTTAGTTAGCATTAAGATTATGTTGATGAGATAGATAAGTGGTGATGGTATCATCTTAAAAGTACTGCGTACACAGCCATTAAATAACTAGTTGAGAAGCAGAAGTGTCAAGGTAGTTAGCGGGAAGATGTCTTGCTTTATTGGCCGTTAGTAACATCTCACCACAGACGCAGCCAAGGTCATTACATGTTGGATAAATGTCTGATTGCTCCAATCCCCTGTGATCTGCCTGCACTGCCTCCTCTTGCCTGCTCTGCTTTGCCTCGGTTGACGACCCCGGAGGTTAAATGTCAGATATTTTAATGTTTCCAACGGCGAACAGGTGGCATGTGGACGCAAAAGAAATACACATAAAGGTGAAGGTGGTGAATAATCAGAACTTAATGGGCAATGGCCCTTTATTAATCGTATATGTATAGGTTCATATACCAATTGCCCGTTAGATCAAGTAGCCGCCCATATGAGAACTAATGACTAGATAATCCTTCCTTAATGACCACGGTTGTACATTTGGGCTGCTCCCCCAGAATATGCTCCATTTTTCCTCAACGAACCGTAAACTCGTTTTGCCACAGCGTGCAGCTCTGCACCATACACATACTCGGTAGGATCTTTGTGCTCTCTCAAAATCGTTAGAGCCTGACTGTCAAGATACCCCCCGATAACGAGCTCCGTGACAAAATCCATTGTCCACTCCTGACATCTCCTGATAACCTAATTCGTGAATTGTTAGTAAAAATTGACTGAGTGAGCGCTTGGGCCTTGAGAAATGCATACCCCTTTAAACGGAGCCATATAATTCCCAACAGTTGGTGGAGGGATACGGCTTGCGATGATTTCCAACTGGCCCCTGGGAACATTGTCATTGGATGGCTGTGAACTCTTCGGATCCGCAACGTAATTTGCGGCTATTTTTCCGATCAGAATGATCTTTTGGAATGATCCATTCGCTGTGGGATCATAGTTTCGTTGAAACTGGAGGGTATACCCAGTCGGTGGATTTCCGATGACATGCATGAGCGTGCCTTTCTTCGAGTCACCGGTGTTAAAGACAAATATTGCTAAGTGTTTCCACTTGTCTGAAGGTGCATAGAAGGTGACGAGGTACAGGTTCCGGAATGTCATGGTCTGCTGGGCGTTTGTATGAAAGATGGAACTAGGGCTCTGTGACGAAGCGAATGTCTGATTTTATGGACCAAGGGATGATGATGATGATGATGATGATGATGATGATGATGATGATGATGGGTTTAACTTAACGGATACCGTCGAGGTTTACTCCTCTTATATAACCTTCCCAGGGCCTTTCAAAGACCCTGTAATGCTGTTCGGAAGGCAGTCTTCATCAGCCGCAACATCAACCAGCCTTCACAGTCTTACTGGCTAAGCGCCCAAAGCATCTGCTGGTGCTAAATGAAACTTGTCGTTTCATTTGCAACAACATTTCTAATTATTATCACATCCATTTGGTCAGCCATGGCTAGCGATTATGCACTATACCAATAACATGGATCATAGTTAGTCACAAGTCTCCTGATACATGGAATAGTTCGCGGAATCCAACAAGACAGGGTACTCTACGCTGTTCTTACCCATACAAATGGGCAGGAACCCATGACATGGAGCCTCCGGCGCGTAAGTTGAGCCTACTACCTGTCTTGATTCGCTGAAATTATTTAATGCAATATTTAAGCCACAAGTCTCGGGGCTCCCTAGATTTCTTTTGTTCTGTTTATTTTTAGTAGTAGCTATTTCATAATTGATGAGAAGTCTTACACTCTAGCCTCACTCATTAGATGACTATGATACCAGCGCCGTCCACAGCTAGGTATTACCCCCCTTGCTTCCCCTTAATTGTCTGGGCTTATAATTCACTCAGCATTGTATAAAAAATAACTTCATTGTAGCCCCAATCCAGTGTCCAATCTCCTTGTGCAAAAGTCCGTCATCTGATTCCACCACTACCACCACCCTGCTGCTGCTTGCCTAGTTGTACGAATGAAGTAGATACAGAGTTTGCTTCCTCATCATCTAGGAACCTTCCTCATCAATAGTAATCCCTGCGTTGCGTAAAGTTTCGGCAAAGCCACGCTCCCTTCCATAGCGTGACGGGAAAAATTTAAAGGAGCCATCAAGGTGAAAGTGGGCAGTCCCCACACGGTTCCCTTTCGCAGTCAAGATTGCAACAGTGACAACCTTTTCGGTATCAGACTTGTCCTTGCTAGACAAATGTGCCAACGCGCCCCTTTGATTCAAGTTAGCTCATCTTTGCGAGGGTTATGATTATCGTAGGGACGGCCTTTATGAGATATTACTGGATTTTAGCGCTCGTGATTCGTGGATCCTATATTATTATTAATTAGTTAGTTAGTTATTCGGCTTTCCTTTCATTAAATGACATAGCTGGGTGTACTAACTGCATCTTCTAGTCGCTCACATCCAGTGCGGACAACATGGGACCAGCGATCCCCATCTGGTCCATTGACGGACACAAGATCTACCAACCTAGTAGGCTCCAGAAATTGGAGTGCTCTTTGGGCGGTATTGCTGAATGCTCTGGTCGCAAGACGGTTGAGCATGGTTGCTTTCTCTTCCTTTCTCTTTTATTTTTTCCAATTGAGGGTCACGTAGAAGGAATCAGGATATGCGGCAGGGAGTATTTTGATTGTGTAATAAATCTGTGAAGGAAATTCCAACTAATTCATGAATATAACTGAGGATACGTAGCTACTTATATATTGATACCCTGGTTCGGGCTGGCAGACCTGGGCTATCTAAATATAGTATATCATAACTTGTTGGAACATTCATTGTTCTACCTCAGCCAACCATTCCTGTACTATGGTTATATATAGTAATTTAATGCATAGAGAGCATAATAATAAACTAGACAATACGCTTTACGCTGATGGAGTCTTACGGTGGTAATTCACCTGCTTAACTAGGTTAAGAGACGGCAGGGATTTGTGATGAGAATTTGTTATGCAACCAGTAGTTATCATTACAAAATGGTATACTATGTCTATTTATAGCGACCTCCTTCAATGCAAGCAGACCCAGGGGTTAGTGTGTTTTGTGTATGCGGGTGGAAGTACTCTGTGTTTATGTTTGCATCGGTTAGTTAGGTTCGGCGCTTAAAGTGGAGCCCAAGTAACAAGCTTAATCCAATAGACTTGCACAGAACTTGCTCTGCGCGGGACGTCTTGGCCTAACCTTAACCCAGGCCGTAATGGATCTTAGATAAGCACAACAACGGACATTTCGTTGATCCGAAATTGGACGCGCCCTACCTATCAAGTCTGTCCATCCTGGCCCAAGTCCTTTCGCGCCCGCCTGTGTGAGAACGTACTCCGTACCGACCGAGACATTCGCAGCCCGCCCTTCTCCCAAGTGCTTTGGACTGCCTTTGGACCAAGCAAAATACAATCTTGTATTGATGACGACTATATTTAGATTCAATTCACGTCTGTCTGTGTTTGGATCGAGATGTTTTGTACGCAACGTTCCTCGTCCATTCAAGAGTTCGTTTATTAGCCGTCGAATGATGTCTTCGAATTTGCGAGCTCCTCTCTCCTTCCCTTCGTCTGGTTTTGACCTGGTCGACAAGACGAGAAACATAGAGGAGGAGACACTTCCTACTTACACACCAGAAAAATATTATCCAGTTCATTTAGGGCAGGTATTCCAAGGCAGGTATCAAGTTGTCGGAAAGGTCGGATATGGAGGCTCTTCGACTGTTTGGCTTGCCCGCGATTTTCGGTATGTATTGCCTGCCTATAATTACTACGAGTTATTCTCATCTTTGCTGTGGGCCCGCACATTTTGCTTCCTTTAACGCGCGAATAGGGATGCCCGGCATGTTATACTCAAGATGTGCGTTTCCTCGAGAGAACCAAGCCACGAACTCAGGATTTATGAGCATATAAAGGCTACAGAACACAGGGTTGATCATGTTGGAAAGGCATTTTACCGCAAACTCTACGACTCATTTACGGTTGATGGGCCATCTGGCTCTCACGTTTGCTTGGTTCAGGAGCCATTGGGGTTAAATTTGGATCAAGTGCTTGAAATGAGGCCTAACAACACTTTCGACCTGGAATTACTTAAGCCCCCTCTGCGTCAAATCTTAGCAGGTCTGGATTATCTGCACCGTCTTGACATTATACATACCGGTAAGCTGCTCCTGGCGTGCAAGAGCCTACTATCTGGCTTACTGACGGTTATAAAAATAGATCTTCAGACTAGAAATTTGCTGCTTGGAATTGATGACACATCTGTCTTCTCTGTTTTTGAAGAGGCAGAGACTGAATATCAGCCATGCCCCCGTAAGGTTCTAGATGATCGTACAATCTACGTGAGCAGGCGAGTTCCTTTCTCGAGTCGATTGCCGATTATTACCGATTTTGGCGAAGTTAGGCTTCGGGATGAAGCCCATATCGGCGAGGATATCATGCCCGATGTATACAGAGCTCCGGAAATAATTCTCAGAAGTGAGTGGGACATTTGGGTGGATATATGGAGTGTTGCTATGGTGGTAAGTCAGAAGCAAACCAATCGTATATCATTTTCTTTCCAGGTAAAAATTGACAAACTATATTCTCAATAGTCTTGGGACATTGTGAAAGGCCGCACCCTCTTCAAGGCTAGAAATGATGAGAAACTGTTGGATGATAGGCTTCATCTAGCAGAGATGATTGCAATCATGGGTCCGCCACCGAAGGAGTTCTTGGAGCGCAGTCAAACGAGCCTCATATATTGGGACGAAAATGGTAATTGACCCTTCACCCTTTATTACATGCTTTAACTAACACATTCCAAGGTCAATGGAGAGGGCTCGCGCCGATTCCTGATATCTCCCTTGAGACTCTTGCGGAGGGTATAGAAGGCGAAGATGTGGCAGGTTTTCTCAGCTTCCTCCGCCGAATCTTACGCTGGCTCCCGGAAGAACGGCCAACTGCGGGGGAGCTTATGTTCGATCCCTGGCTAATGGAGGGTCTAGGGAAGTTCGGGCAGTCCAAGAAGCCATAACTCTCCATCCATTTCTGTATTTCTAGCCTAGAATAATCGATTCATCGCTGCTTTTTCTGTGTTTTCGTATTTATAGTCGAGGAGGATGACGCTAGCTCGATCTGGTGACGCTAAACCCTGTTGGGAACCAGGCAAGAAAAAAAAGTTGAAGCTTCCGAGCAAGCAAAACATCATCAACACTCAACACCAAGTAATTGAACAGCTGCAATAAACGCGCAAACCATCATGGACTCGTATGCTACCCCTGGAGCACATATGTCCGCCCTTGATCAACCTTGGCTGAGGATTTACTGACAATCGCTGTTTTTGCAACGAAATAGCCTTACCCAAAATGAGCAGCAGATGCTCTCGAAACGCATGGAGCAGAAGCAGATGAAGGAGGTCATGAACGTATGTTGAGGATTAATTGCTATATCTGTTACGGCCTTTGCTCTGTTTGATTCAAGGTTCAATAATATAATGGCAAAAGCTGACCTGAAACTGGTACCCAGGCATACTCAAACGTCGTCCAGCGTTGCTTCGAGGACTGCATCTTCGATTTCACAACTAAATCGTTGACCCCAAGAGAGGTCGGCTGCACCAATCGCTGCTTTGACAAGTTCGTCAAGGCATCTGAGCGAGTGACCCTCCGTTTCCAGGAGCAAAATGCTGCTATGGCCCAGTCCGGCACGATTCCCGGAAGGGGCTAAACGAATTGAATCGATACCTCTTGCTTCCCCGAATCTCGATTTATCCTCCCTTGTTCGATTATGACCGGCAGTTTCTTAGTCCTCGCCGATGGAAGCAGAACCCAGCGGAAGCCCACATAGTCTTTCCCTCGAGGGCGATTTCACCCCCAGAAATCGAATGCGAATACTCACCTGAACCACTTTTGATACTGCCTTTGATGGTCAACCGCTCTCTTACGTCTACTGTCAAAACGACGGTTCCAGTCTTTTGGATATCGGATATTGGGTATATGTGAAGATTTTGGTGGCTGTTACTATATACGCTCCTCATGTTTCTTGCTATTATTTTGTTATGACTGATTCGAGCTGGCTGGAAAGGCGACGGCGGCTCGTCTCCTGTACAATATTGCATATCCTTCAACATTCTACAATGATACACCAGGACGGCATTCACGGCGTTTATTCTACCTCCGCCGTCCATTTCCCTTGCAAGTACGCAGTGCATTCAACTTCACTAAATTTAGGTCAAAACCCGCGGCTTCTATTCAGCAAAATAAGTGCCAACAGTTGCCGTTGGACCGATTGTGTGACATCTATCAATTTCTGTGCCCGGCGGCTGAATTGTTTCCCCAGCTTCCGCCCCGGGTTCCAAGGTTGGAGGCGAAATGACGAGGCGAAACTCCCCACCCTAACTAATTTACTACAAAACTTGCTGCCCCTCATATAAACAAACATCCAAGCCGAAGAACAAGCAACTCTGCACCGAATATTCAGCTATCAGGCCAGCGCTCTGTTGTTTGTTAAACACTGGGTATCGGCTCTAGACAAGGTTCATAGGTGAGTTTTAACTCTGATTTCTGGCTGCAATCCCGAGTCTCATGCAGACTGGTCGTCGGGAGCCGTCTCCGGCAATTCGCCGGCTGCAATACACTCAGAATGTATATTTACTTATTTTTTTTTGCATCAAACAAGGCACATTGAGCAAAAATGGCGAGCACTGTTGGAAAGGTAAGTCTAATACTCTAGTGTCTCCTTATGTTTCTTTGGCGTCCTCTGTTGATGGAGACCCAGAACTAATTGCCGCTTCACAGACCATCAAATGTCAAGTAAGCCGCACGACCGAACCCCCAATACAATGATCGGAGTAGGAGTGGATGTTATCGCCCTTATGGGGAAACCCGCAAACATTGGAGCCCATAGGGACCGACAATAAAGATTGGTTACGAGAATGCTTCGCTAAGACAACCTTGCGGGAATAGGCTGCCGTTGCCTGGGAAGCTGGGAAGGAGTTGACCATCGAAGAGATCGAGGTAGATCCTCCAAAGGCCCACGAAGTCCGTATTCAGATTCATTATACGGGGGTTTGCCATACTGGTGCGTCTTCCTGGGGCTGGATGAGGAATAGATAACTATTTCAAGCTAGGGCATTGGTAAAGGATTGGGCGAGCTGACAGCATATTCAAGATGCGTACACACTTTCTGGAAAAGACCCAGAGGGCGCATTCCCCATCGTCCTTGGCCATGAGGGTGCTGGTATTGTTGAGTCGGTTGGTGAGGGCGTCACCTCCGTGAAACCCGGCGATAGGGTCATCGCGCTATAGTACGCCAATCCTCCGTTTAACACCGACATTCCGCATAGAAGATTGAAGAGCTAATCGTTTATCCCCACGATACAGCACGCCCGAATGCAGAGAGTGTAAATTCTGCAAATCAGGCAAGACGAACCTTTGCGGAAAGATCCGAGCCACCCAGGGCCGTGGTGTTATGCCAGATGGTACTACCCGCTTCAGGGCCCGTGGAAAGGATCTGCTGCACTTCATGGGAACGTCTACTTTCTCTCAATACACTGTTGTGGCCGATATATCAGTTGTTGCTATCACAGACAAGATTGGGCTAGATAGGGCCTGTCTTCTGGGATGTGGCATTACCACCGGCTATGGAGCCGCAACAGTCACTGCCAAGGTGGAAGAAGGCTCGAACGTTGCTGTATTCGGTGCTGGATGTGTTGGTCTCTCTGTTATTCAGGGAGCTATCCAGAACAAAGCTGGTAGAATCATTGCTGTTGATGTGAACGACACCAAGGAAGAATGGGCACGCAAATTCGGCGCCACTGAGTTTGTCAACCCCTCCAAGCTAGGAAACAAGTCAATCCAGGAATACCTGATTGAAACCACCGATGGTGGCTGTGACTATACCTTTGACTGCACTGGAAATGTTGGTGTCATGCGAGCTGCCCTCGAGGCTTGCCACAAGGGATGGGGCGAGAGCATCATTATTGGTGTCGCAGCTGCTGGACAGGAGATTTCTACTCGGCGTAAGTTACCCATTGACTATCAGCATATACACAACATTATCATACTAACGTACTCCCAATAGCATTCCAACTCGTTACTGGTCGTGTGTGGAAAGGGTGCGCCTTTGGAGGAATTAAAGGGCGCACTCAACTTCCCGGCCTCGTTGATGACTACCTCAATGGCAAGCTGAAGGTTGACGAATTCATCACTCACCGCGAGAATCTGCCCAGGATTAACACTGCCTTCGACGAGATGAAGGCTGGAGACTGCATCCGATGCGTCGTCGACATGACCAAGTAAATCTTCTCCAGCGTTCGTGTCTAATTGGTTAAATATCAAAATAACGCCTTGATATCATATCACGCTGAATACGTCATGAGCCACTCGTAAGCCAACTATAACAAGTCTACTATTAATATTGCCGTTATTATAGGATATGGACCTGGATGTAATAGTTAGCTCGTTAATACGTACCGATTATGGGTGTAAGATCTATCGCCTAGCTATCCTTTTGAGTGTCTAAATGTAAGAAGCTTACGCTTGTGGTGTGCATTTATTGCATGATGCTTGAAAGACGACACTCTCACCGTCACTAGTTACCTCGTACTAATATGTACATTGCCAGGATCACTGATTATGCATATCTTCCCTGTCGACGGCGTTCGTCCCACTCTCCTACTGGGTATTACCCCTCGGCCTTGTCGGGTATTATAAAAGCTCCCGGTTCCTAGCATCACATGGGTGAATATCAGTGCATACAAGGGCCGACAGCCGTAGTTGGACGAACTCTCTAACCACCAAATTACAACATCTAACATCATGGTGAAAGAACCAGAGGCATGGGAGGAGAAAGCGGCAGTCAAACGAGCAGTGACTGTGGCAAAGATCCCGGAGGAATGGCGTCTCACCGAAGAGCAGATCAATGATGCAAAAGCCCAGAGACAGCTTGCCGGTGCATATTTCCAGGGCTTTCTTACCGACGAGGAGAGGAAGATTACCGGCGAAGAGAGCACCGAGATCGTGAGCAAGATCAAGAGCAAGGAGTACTCTGCTCTTCAAGTCGCAAAAGCGTACTGCAAGGCTGCTGCCATTGCCCACCAGATGGTGAGTATATATAGTGATTCTCTAGTGTGTTTATGCTCAACCCTGATACTGTTATAGACCTCATGTCTCCATGAAGTGTTCTTTGACCAGGCACTTGAGAGAGCAAAGTATCTGGATGAATATGTGGAGAAGCATGGGAAGACCATGGGACCACTACACGGCCTGCCCATAAGTCTCAAGGACCAATTCCATGTAAAAGGAAATGATACCACCATGGGCTATGTTGGCTGGATCGATACATTCGAGGGAGACAAAGGCTCTCATAAGGTGCATAACTTCGATAGCCCGATTGTCACGGATCTTCTTTCACTTGGAGCTGTGCTATACTGCAAGGTATATAGGAGCATACCCTCCCATATGTCCTGATAAGCTAATTTTTCTTGTAGACAAGCGTCCCACAATCACTTCTAGTATGTTCACCGACTATCTGGTATCGTTAAAGGCGTCTCTGTTGACTGATCTATTGCATAGATCGGGGAAACTGAGAACCATATCATCGGCCGTGTACTAAACCCATGGAACAACAACCTCTCGTGTGGTGGTTCATCAGGAGGTATGCTCAGGCGGCTCTCATATCGATTTTAGTAGGCTAACACGCATTCCAACTAGGAGAGGGAGTGATGCTTGCCCTTGGAGCTAGCTCTGCTGGGCTTGGAACTGACCTTGGTATGAAATAGATACCCTTTATCAGTTCTATGTGAAAACTTAGTGAACTGATCACCGCTGGCATAGGAGGATCTGTTCGAGTTCCTGCTGGGTTTTGTGGTGTCTATGGACTGAAACCCACTCATGACCGGCTTCCATACAGAGATGTCGCCAACACCGTAAGTTTGATATGTGACGTGTTGAACCGGACCATAATTCTCCAAAGGTTAACTCTCCATGAATAGAACCCTGGGCAAAACACATATTCTTCCTCCATTGGGGTTTTATCAACGTCTCACGATTCCATCCAGTTAATGATGAAATCCATCCTTTCCACCCAACCGTGGCTCCGAGATCCAGTCGTTTTCAGTGTCCCATGGAGAGACGAGATTGTAGCCGAGACTCTTGAGAGGGTCGCTCCAGATGGTTCTGCAAAGAGTGATCAGAAATCACTCAAGTTTGGTATCCTTTATACAGATAATATAGTAACCCCCCATCCTCCGGTCACAAGAGGGCTTCATGCCCTCGAAGATGCACTCAAAAAGGCTGGGCATAAGGTTGTCTCTTGGAACCCACCACCGCATAGCACTGCCATTAGAATTCACGTAAGTTCTCACAATTGACTCGTGGTTAGCTCTTTCACTAATAAAGGAGCATAATAGCTGGAGTTCATGTCAGCAGACGGCGGTAATGACATCAAGAAGCAACTTAGCCTGTCTGGGGAGCCACCCATTCCCCAGATTAAGATCTTTGTTGAGGGCAAAGAGCCATTACCTCTTTTGGAGTATCAGGATCTGATTCTCCAAGGCATCGAATATGCCGAAGCGTACGCTGATTATTGGAACTCGACTGCCCAAGATGACGGTGAGTGATGCATCCACTGGACTATTCATTAATTTTGTTCATCTGGTATACTCACCTGGCATAAACGTTCATAGGGCAAATTGTTGACGCTGTTATTGCTCCATTGGCGCCGTGGGCAGCGGTGATTCCAACTAAATATTACCATACGGGTAAGATTCTTCACTTAATTTTAACACGGCATAATACTCAATTTCTTCAATCTCCAGCATACACCGAGGTCATCAACCTTTTGGATTACAGTGTTTCCGTAGTTCCAGTTACTAAGGCGGATAAGAATGTCGATGTTGCGGACCCTGACTATGAACCTATTAGTGAACTTGACAAAGCAAACTGGGAGCTATGTATGAATTCATATTAACCCACGAGTTGAATCACAAGGTATACACCGTTGCTAACTGTTGTATGATTAGATGACCCTGAATTGTTCAACGGGACCCCGGTTGGGATGCAACTTATTGGCCGAAAGCATGAAGAAGAGAAGATTTGGGCGATTGGGAAGATCGTTGACAATATTATGAAGAAAGCCAAGAGCGGTTAGAGTATTTTAATGCCCGTTAATTCGGTTTAGTTACTCCTGATTCATCAAATATGCTTAGTGGTATAAAAACTGTTATCTATTACACCGTACCGTTATTCTATGAATATTAGCAATTAAAAATATGCCTGGGTGAATCACATGTACAAGAAGTAACAACCACAAACCTAAGTAAGTAAGATTCTATCTCAGTAAAATCACCTAGTTATACAGCCTTCTTTTCCGGAGTTGCTTCTTCTACTTCTTCCTCACTAAACTGTATTCTTTTCCCATATAGGAAAGGTAATCTCCCAGCCCAGCAACCGAGGACATATCCGATACAAGCTCCGGTGATAATCGTAATTGGATAGGTTTGCCATGGGCGATCCCTAACCGCGAATACATTAGTATTAATTTGCATATTATAACCGTCCTATGGATGTAAAACGGCAAGGGTGTAGGTTGTGTCCTTACCAATCTAACGGAATAGGCACGGCACCTAGCCATGCGCCCAGTGCCATACAGATAGTACCACCCCATACGGCATCAAACGCCTTGGATATACTCCATATTTCACGCCAAACAGCCACATCTGTCCCATGGACGTAGACCAGGCCAGTACCCCCAAGAATCGACATGTGAGCGGCACATAGAGCGGTATGTGGTAAATGGGTTGTGAAAGGGGCACCGAACAAAACGAGAAGGACAGAGAGGCCTGGAGTCCCCAGGACCAGTGGAAGACTCAGAGAAAGGATGGCAGGCTACACACATACGATTAACGACATTTCCGGCAATACTGGATGGACGAAAAGTCTCAATGGAATAGCATTGTAGGAGATTACTTACAACAACCTTGGAGCCAATTGACGCCTCTTGGTCTTTCCGCTTGGACCCTGCCCCGATCTTCCCACTGGAACGCGCCTTATTTGAGCTTCCGAGAGCTGCGCCCGCAGCAGGTAAACATATACTGACGTATATTATCTGCAGCACCGCGAATACCGGTAAAAGAGTAGACAGGGTCGTAACTGGATCAGATACTAGGGCATTGAATCGAAGAGCGAATATAGACCCTATTAGGATCGGATGGAGATGCGAGTATGCCTGCGCAGTTGGGTTGGCGAGTATGCGGATAGGGGGGTGGGATAGGACGGTAACTTTGGCTTCAGGCTGCGACGCTGGGCCAGTGGCCGCGGCGGGGGCGATTTGAGAACTCATGAGATTGGGAATACGCTGTTTAATCGAGGCATCTGATATATTGTCTGACGAGCTCGTTGTTGCTGAGATGCCCAAGGTTGCGATTTGATATTCGAGATGAAGGGAATGCTATAACTAGTTATGTTTGCATTGTTTGCATGTTCATCGAGAATAACAAAATTTCCGTACGCAGACAAGAGCATGACAGGGATTCACCAGCTGGACTTCACGTATGAATGCAATGCAAACATTATTCCAGGAATTGGCCTTTAGATCTACGGTGAAAAATATGCGGTTTATATAATAAGGTATGTTGAGAGGAAGGAATTTATATTAGCTTCACCACTATTTGAACCACGGAGCTAGCCTGGTATATCTAGGAATTCCAGCCAAAAAAAGAATGGAAAGGTAGATAGGTAGGTCTCAGACTCGCCCATAATTAGGAAATACTGTAGTCAAATGATCAAGAAATTCATGGGTGCAACTTGGTATTGGGTATCTGAAGCGAATGCAACATAGGAAAGAGGAGCAAGTTGGATATAATGGTAAACAAATGAGAGGAGGTATATGTGAGTAATACAAGTCAAAAAAGAAAAAAAATCATGGCTGGACAGAGAAATAGAATAAAATGAGGGAAAAACAGGTAAAAGTATCAAAATATCGACAATGGAAAGTATAAGGAAGGACGAAGCATGGTCAATTCATACGCAGGTCGAGGGTGGGTACATTTGGTCATCACTATATCATCCCCGGAATATGATTGTTATGGGGTAGAGAATAGTCATTTCGAGATCGGTGGTAGGTATTATAACGGCTTGAGTCAGAGTTATGCCGATAGCTATTAATCGAGTTGCTGTCATTTTGAGACGGTTCAATATTAGGGGGCGGTTTCCATGGGTTTGTCGGTGCCTGTCTTGGAGAGTCGTGAAGATATGGGGTGGGCAGCATCTGCGAGTCGGGACTTGAGGATCGTAAAAACGTGCTTCCTTGCCCTGGACCCCATGGTTCTCCAGTCTGAAGGCGCCGAATTTCCTGTTGCATAGAGAGGATTTGGCTCTCTAGTAACTTTCTGGCGCATTGTTCTCGTCGCATGAGAGTGGTCAGAGCACTATACTGTTCCACGGATATACCTTGGAAACCCGAATCAGAGCGATAAGGTGACGGAGGGCGCCGTGATTGTGAGATACATTCCAATGAGTGGTTGCACAGCGTAATCGGGCTGCTGTGTTGCATCGGTTCTATTTCGGCAGGGGATCCTTGAGGTGGCGTAATGCTAGGCGTGGATACGAATGAATTGATGAACTGGCTGGAGTCATTTATGGGTTCCATGGGTCTCCCTCGGACTGGTGAACCTGTAGCCTTCTTCTTGACTGTATTTGCTTCAGCACTGCTGTTTTGTAGTTTCGCGATTGCAAATTCCAAGTCCATCAGTTTGACCTCAAGAGTTCCTACTCGCTGGGCTAGACTGACTTCATTCTCGGTCTGCATGCTTTCCATCAAATTTTTGAAATCAAACCCTTCTTCATCGTTTGGCTCGGAGTCATCAGATTCGTCTTCTTCGATTGGACAATCAGCGGACTCTTCACTTGCGTCTGCAACTTTCTCGTCAGGGCCAATGTGGCTTGATATAGATGTCGCAGGTCTAGTGTCGGGACGAGGTTCGGCAAAGTCATTGAGGGTGCTCTCCCTCCAAAATCTGATTTCATCACTTCTCCGTCGCCATTGAATTGGAGACATGCGGTGCGATTTCGCAGTATCTCGCACACCGCAAGCACTTCGTGACCGGCGTTTATAGTGGTTATCAGCTTTTATTGCCAGAGCGTCGAGGCTTCCGATTGAGCTTTTCTTGTCAAAAGTAGCGGCTGCATCAATTTTTGAGGCAAGCTCCAGGGCGTCGTGTGCAGAAAGTGCAACACTCGGCAGAGTAGCTCGTCTCCGGTGCACCCGAACATCTAGGAATTCCGAGGAGGACCATGGTTGGGAAGGAGAACCTAAGCCGCGGAGCGAGCTTTTGGGGCTTCTTTGGATACTATTTTTTAGGCTTGGGAGGGAAGAGGATCTGTGAAAGCGAGCAGGAGGTTGTACGGCCACGCCACCTTCTTCATCATCGTGTAGGCTAGTAACATCCGGTGAGTGAGGATAGATTTCGGGAATCTCTTGCGGGGATTTTAGATCATCAAGCTCGTCTCGTGGTTTGCGGCCAAATATCTTCCGCATCACCGTTTTGAGGGTGCTCCCTCGTCTACGGTGCATGGTAGAACTATTAGACACATTGCTTGAGAGAGATTCCTGGTGGGTATGAGACACAGGCGCCCCTGGGGACGGATGTGGATGGTATGTAGCTGGGCGCGAAGTCTCAGAATGAGTGGATTGAATTGGTGTTTGCGGAGGCTGGCGAGACTGGCGGGGTGAACTCATAAAAGAAGGATTAAAGGCCACGACGTTGGGCGTCACGGGCAAGAGGTTCGGGGTGACAGGAGGCTCGGCCTCATAGGCGGCGGGTAAGGGATGTGGAAGAGGACCCGATATCTTCAGTTCATGACGAGGGAACAGCGGTGATAGCTGTCCTCGGTGTCCCTCCTTGCGCAGATGGTTTCGAACCGGCATTGTTGCGATCGAGCTATGGCCAGTTCTAGTGACGGAATCAACCGCTCACATAAAGCGTATATTTAGGCGCTACGCTGATACTAATGATGACAAAACTCTGTTGGTTATTGGAATGCACGTCTAGTGCCATAAAAGTAGCGCAGATGGTTCCCTTTTGTGGATGGGTATCATGATAGATCCTGATATAGGCAAGGGTGGGAATGATCAGAAGACCTCTGAGTAAATAGTATCGAGTATTGCTTTCTTTTGCCCAAAAGAAAACCACAGATTTTTATTTCCTTCTGGGAGAATGAGCGACAGGAGCAAAAGCAAGGAGTGGACTATCAAGCACTGCTTTCCGCACGCAATGGCGAACTCGGACAGCCAATCAAAGCAGTATGGACATGCAATACGAATCGAGGGGGTTAAGGAGGTGTCTGACGAGGCTGAAGGAGCTGCTGTGCTCCAGATGACGAATAATGCTCTATCAGAAATGTTGAAATCTTTGGAGGTTCGCGAGTGACGCTGGTGTGGGAGACAACTCAGTTGGCTGGGGTGAGTGATAAGCAGCGGAAATGAAAGCCCGAGAAAGAGATGCAATATAACTATGCGGGGGGGACTTGGGGTCTTGACCCTTCCCTCATCCAAATAGTCGCATAGTAGTTGACGGCTATGTATGGGAAGGGAAAAAAAGGGGGGGAAAGGAGCGAAAGAAAGGATTGACTAGAGCGCAGCAGCGCAGGAAAAGAGTGCAGCCAGCAGGTGAAGATAGAGAAGAAAGATGAAGAAAAATAAGATCAAGATGTACGGAGTACGTTGAGAGAGAAGAGGGAAAAAATCGGACTAAGGAAACAAGAGCAGACAGAGAGCCGGGTTTGTCTGCCCCAGGCTGGCAAGGACAGGGAAGGACAGAGCTATTTTGGCGACACCTGGACTGGGCCACTGGGAAAGGAGAAGCCAGGTCTGAAACTCCTTGGGAGCCCGGCTACACCCAACTCCTGCGTGACCTGTGGCTTCCAGAACAAGCGGGGGCAGCCGTGGCCCATAAAGCGTGTCATTCCCTTAGCTAAGGATTATGCAAGGGACTGGGATGGTTTGGCCATCGTTGCATCTCCGAGTCAAGTTGACCGAGTCGCCAATCCCGTACAATTCGTCCACGTTTCGCTGCCTCCGTGCGCAAACTTACATCCAGCGTAAAAGGAGTCTGTACCCGTAAAACGGAGAGCATCTCCGTTCTGGCACCCGCAGGTCCGTTTGCTTCTTTTCTTAATAATAATATACATGTAGGCGTAGCTCTATGTACGGTCATGCATCTGTAAAGGAGCGCTAGGGCAACACAATACTTGGGAGATCGCCTTGCGAGTGGCTTGAGACCATTCGGGAGGGCGTGCAAGTTCCTGGCCGCGGTGCCCAACGAGCCAGCAGAAGCGGTGAGTTCGCGCAGGTGCATGCCGTGCCCAAGTATCGGTGCTCAAGAGGCAACTTTTCCGGCATTTATTTTTTATTTTTATTTTTTTTTTTTCTGTTTGACTTTTCCATAGTTGGTTAGTTATGCTGCTGCAGGAGATGTTGACTCTGTGCTCCTGTGTCTCAGCCACGCAACCAGGCGAGAGGACTCGCTACATATTTCATGCCATGGGCTCGCCGCCAGAGCAGCAACAAGCCAGAGCCAGAGAGCCAGAGAGAGGGAAAAGGAGGTCGACCAGGTAGTTAGCTATGCTCTTCAACATCAGGGGGGAAAACTGGCCTCCTTCTTTTCCCACCACGCGGGACGATGCTCCACCCCCCAGTCGTCCCGGCGATATCTGCAGAGTGGACAAACGCGTCTGAGTGGACAGCCGTCTCAATCAATCCTGGACCGTCGCCCGCAAGCGTAAGTTTCCATGTTTACTCCGGGCGCTGGGCTGTCAAACAGCGACAATAATAATAATGATGGCGAGGTTGTTGTCGTCGTTTGTCTTTTACGAGACGTCAAAGAAGCAAAAGAAGCTCGACGTCAAAAGCCGGGGATCACGTGTCTTGCCCCCTTTTCGGCCTCCATCGACGGCTCGAACTTCAACGCAGCCTTCGCGGCGGCCCAGCAGCATCAATTTCACCGCCGGAGGAGCTTGATATGGGCCAGGGATCGCAGCTCACGCTCAGTAAGCACGCTGCACAGCGAGTCTGAGTCAGACTATCACGGAATCATATCCAAGCTCCACCCTTTCCAGGGCTCAGAGCTCCCGGTAGGACGCGAGCTGACTATCCAGGAAACTGTGTGAGAGCATCCTCGTATGGATTTGTTTCATCCCGTCCTCCCAGATCGGACCGTTATCCTCCCCCCTTTCTCGCTTAGTTACAGACGGAGTACTTGCAGGAGAGATACGGATATGTCCAGGCCGAATATCCTCGTCCGAGAAGTCCTCACCACTGTCTGGCGGCATTGCGGACTCAGGTCGGCGGCAGACCACCGACACCCACCTCTACGGAGTACTGTGGCCCATGGCTTGAGTAACTCGGATATCTGAATGTACTGGACGCAGGTCATGTTTCCTGTTCCACAGCTGATCTCAGGAAACCTTTCGGGTTACTCCTCGGGTACCTGAGCAAGGTCAGGGTGATGGAAGCTTGGTGCCATGGCCGCTGCTGAACCTGCATTGGTCGGTTACACCTGAATCAATAACGGTGACCGGCGCCATGGATGAAGAGCTTTAAGAGTGGCGCCCTACCCGGCCACTAGATCTCGAACACAGAAACACAGTTGCTGCATATTAATGGAGGGACCTGTGACGTCCGTCCTCACTATTGAAACACTGTCCGCGCCTGCTGAGATAAAAGAGCTTTTATATAATCCCATCACGCTATTGTACGAAAGCACGGAAACCCCTGGCAACAGGTGATGTCATGTGGTTTTATATATAAAATTTAATCTATCTATAACTAACGGGTCGGCTACCCAGACTCTGATCTTGATTTGGCCTCCCGTTATCTAGCGCGCATGAGCCATGTCGCCGTTGCATTCACGGAGCACATATACGGAGTAGGGTCGTGGGGTACGGCGTGCTCCCTCCAACACACACACCTTTTCACCTCAATTAAATAGTTAATAGGACAACTAATTAATGCGTACCGCACTAACCTTCCTAATCAATTAACCCGGCCTATAAACAACGTATTGTTATCGTGCAGTGGGGTGGTTTTTGGCAGCGACTGTCAAAGCATCCGAAGATTGGAAGTGGAGTCTAAATGGGGCTTGGTACGTTTGACCTTCATTAGACCGAAACACTAGAGATGATATTCATAAGCCGGATATCGGATACACGTACCGGACGCTAGTTCTCGTTAGCGCCGATGTGTTTACCCAGTTTATAGTTACGAAGATGGAATATCATCAATCTAGCTGGAGATCTGTGTGACGATGTTGTCTTCATTCTCAGAGGCTTGTTTATGAGAAACAGTATGGGGTACCTTCGGCAATTGCAATTGTTCACATACAGAACAGTCAATGCCATCATTCAGCCGTGACGGGAGGAGTTTATGTGAGCAAGCCATCACAATATGGGAGGCGCCCAAGGCAGCCACTGGACAACATGACACTATATTGAGCAGATGGTACGGAGTAGGACTTAGACACAGGAGAGCTGTTGAACATTCAGCTAGCCACGCTCATTTCATCTGTGCCATCATTTTACAAGCCAATTTGTGCCTTGCCATCCAGTCCTCCCGTTGACAATCCTTTGAGCAATACTCTGCTACCTTGCAACCACTGCACCGCAGCAACTTCGTTCCACTTCCAGGTCTCTCCCCTCCACAATTTGAGCATGATCCCTTCTCTAAATCCATCGACTGCAATAGCGATTGTGTTATCTGGGAAAGGCCTTCCTTGTTATCCTTATAGCTGCCCTCCTTGTGCTCCTTGTCCTCCTCGTCCTCTGCATCAAACTTGAATTCCTTATCCAGGAACGGGACCCAGTAACAAGGAGATATGGCGACGCGGGTGGCGTATTTCTTGATGTCTTTCCACTCCGGGAATCCCTTGATTTCATAGCCGTTGGGAAACTTACCTTTGCCACACGAACAAAGTATCGGTTGTGCCCAATCCGTAGAAAGGGGTATTTTGCCGGTAGACATATACTCGCAAGACGGCAGATGCTTCCAGGTCCGGCACCGGTCAACAAAGGCAGGCAATACATGTTTCCAAAGGCGGAGCTCATCATCGCTGATCTTGAGTGTCTTCATACCGCGGTTAGTGAGGTCATGGAGGCTTGAATACATCTCCATGACAAGATCTATGGTAAGAGGGATCACCGCTGCGTCAATGACCATGCTCTGGTTGGCGGCCTCCAGTCTTAAAGAAGACATGAGAACAATAACGTTCACTCCGCCACTTGTTTCACTGTCGAGGCCGAAAGTGTTGATTTGGGCCTTTGTTCCAACACCACTGAGATATCCAAACAATGACAAGAGTGTATCTTTGAATGCCACTCGCACATCGTGGGAAGTACAAATCTTGCCCTTTACGTACTTATTCCTTTCCTTCCCTTCTCTATCATTAAACATATCACTTGAAAGCAATTTGACCCAGCTTAGCTTTGAAGGGTCCCTAAGGTCGAGAATAGGCAACTTGTCGAGTGCAGTATAATCGAGATTTC